ATTTTTCTGCTGCCTCAATCGCACCTCAGTTCCGCGCCATGAAAACCGACGCGATATGCCACGCGGGGCCTACCCTGCTCTCCCCAGGCTMGATCACGCCAACGCTGGGCGCCTGCGTGACCCTCCTGTTTCTCCTCGCCTTGCTCCCTAACCTCGCCATAGCTTGCTTAGTCTCCGCCGCTTGCCTCTCCAAGAGGGTCTTTTTGTGCGCTTCCTCTAGGTGCTTTGCGCTGCTGATTGCGTGAACCATCTGTTTCATTTCTTTGTTCTTGATTTGCTGGTGCTGTCTGTTCCTTACGATTGGTGCTGCTTGCGGATTGCGCATACTGGTTGAGTTGCGCGTGGCGGGAGCGATGGAGTCGAAGACCGCGACGGGGACGTCTTCTCACGTTTTTTTAGCTTTTTTGTCCTTCCTATCCTTTCTCTCCTTCCTTTTCTTCATATACTCCCTCCCTTCTCCCCCACCACTTGGATTCTCTCCCCCCCTTCCCCCCTCCCTGGATTTCCCCCACATCCCCATGAGCAACGCCCCCACCCCCCACACCCCCCCTCACACTGCCACACCCCCTCCACCTTCCAAAGACCATTAACTTACATTTCGTTAAAACCGACATTTTTTTCTAAATTCACGAAAATTAGCGTACCAAAAAACAACATTTTTTAGTGTTTTTTCGTCCCCATGACATCGGATGATCAGATCATCGGGTTTCGTGGCGACTCCCGATGATCTGACCATCAGATGTATGTTAACGATACTTTACGTTGAGGTACATCAGATGGACAAAGTGAGATATCAGATGGACAAAGTGAGATAACCACTTTCTCACCCAATGACCAATGAAATTTTGACTAAGTCCACTTTCGTGAATTTAGAAAAAAATGTCAGTTTTAACGAAATGTCAGTTCATGGAAGATGTTCCGCCCTCTGATGACGCCCCAAATGACATGGGGTAGAAAAGCGCTTCAGGGATTCGCCATGCCCTTCCTGCGATTCGGCGAGATGGTCTATGCGGAGACAGGAGCACGATGGGCCTGGAGGATAGAGCTGAAGCAGGATCTTCCTTTCTCCGTCCCCCCATTCTCCCTATCTCGCCCAAAGACCGTTCTCCCCCCTATCCTCTCCCCCTTTTTTTTCCTTGTTAGTCGGAGGATTACATGATTGGTACATGGCAACGAGGAATATTGTGGCAATGATTGTTTTGAAACTCTATTGAGTGTTTGTAATATCGTGTGAAATGTTTCCTTTTTTGTTCTTTTTGGATGGTTGTGCTTATCATGGTGTGTGCTTGGAAAGGACGAGTGGGGGACAGGTTGCATCTATGGGCTCACCGGGGGATGTATGGAAGGTCTTGCTTCGTCTTTTATCTTTTCCTTCTTCTTCTTCTTTCTCCAATATTTTTCTCCTCTGATCTTTCTTCGTCCTCCTACCTTTATGTTTCCCCCCCTTTTTTTCCCCTTCGTCCTCTCCTTCCTCCCCCTCCGCCTCTTCCCCCCGTTCGTCCTCTTCGTAATTTTCCTCCTCTCCTCTCTTTCTCCACTCTTTCTCTTCCTCGCTTATTGAAAAAAAGAAGGAGGGTATGATGTCAGGCTAATTATGTACATGTTCTGTGGGTTGTCTGGGATGTCGTACAGAATGGCTCGAATACAAATATGTTGGATGTGATGATTCCTCGTAAGAAGCAGGCACTCGCCCGACTTCCTTTTTTCGTCCTGCGCCCCCCTTGCATGCCCACTTACCTTCGGCAAAACCGGTTTGTCTCGCCCTCGCCACAAATGGACACACGATTGGGCCTTACCCTGCCGCATTTGCAAATCGCCTCCGCGACTTGCTTGTTGCCTGCGGTGTGCCGACAAGGTCGGAGCTGTGCGGGTATGACGTGTTGTGCCCGTACGCAACTCATGTTACACACACATGCTACACACTCAGGAGGACGAGTTCCTCAAGCGCTGTTGGGGGGTGCCCCCCTGACCGCACCGCAGAGCCCATCTCTGGCGTTCACCGAATGTCGTTGCGTGGACACGGGTGATAGTTGTGGCGATAGGGTACACCTGTGCTCGTCTGAACGATTGGGAGGGTGTTAGATGTCTTGCCGACGTAAAAGGTACGAATTCAATGGTGCGATGTCACGGAGGAAAAAAGAATTGGTGAACATGCCTCCTTTTCTTGTCAAACCCCTGTAATCCTCCTAGCTCAGCTTTGCTCACCTGATTGTTCCATGTCCCTTGTTTTGTTTGTTTCTTTCCCTTCCTCCTCCCTTCGCAATAATCCCCTCTTCCTTACGGATCCTCCTGACTCTTCTCCTATCCTTTTGCGATACCCTCGTGGCACCTCCTCCACTCATCCTTGTCCCACCTCCTCGTTCTTCTTCCTCCTCTGCTCTGATCCATCTCGCATGAGTTCCGGTGTGGATGATTGTCCTGTTTTGATACTATACTCCGCGACTCTTCCTTCACCACTGCGCAACCACCCCCCAAGGAAGCCATCCCGGGAGGATGGTGGAACGACATCACGCACCGCGTCCCATGGTTAAAAGGATGCGCCTCCCCTGCAAAACCCACGCAGGCATTGCTCACCTGCGTCACTCCCCGGGGTTACCGATGCTATCAAAACGAAATGGGATACCGGGCGCTTCCCCCACTTTTTTGAGATGCTAGGCTTTAGTGACCTTGTTGTCCTTGCGGGAGCCTGGGACCGGGGACGACGCGAGTTCGATGATGAGCTGGAAGTTCTTTGTGAGAAGCTCGAGCTGAGAAAAGTTGAATATGTTAGAGAGTGCAGGGAGCTCGCGGGTAGATCGGCGAAGGTCGAACAGATCTTTCTCAAGATCTGGGGGGTGGATGACTCCCACCTGGAAGGTCGGGTACCTGAAACCGGAACAAGCGGTACTGCTGATGCCCAGGGCGGCCATATCGCACTATGTGGCGACCTTGCGATTGAGGAAAAGGAGAGAATTGAGATGGAGCGTGCGATAGTGGCCATAAAGGCCACCACCCACGATTTTCCACCCACCTCCGACGAAAAAGGCGGCGAAGCCTCGGAGCGCGACCAATATACGGCGTCCGTACCCCCGGCATCCGCTTACTGGGTCGAACATACCTCCAGGGCCTTTAGGCATGCGATTTGGAAGATGGACACCTTCAACCACCTCGCACCGATCTCTGTCCGAGCACTTCAATTCTTAGGTGGCATCACGGACGAGCAGGTAAAGCAATGGCGCAGATCCTGAAGGGGAAACTGAAGTACTACAGTAGAGTCAACCCTCTGGATCCCCAGGATCTGAAGTTTCCTCCCATGCGTGAGATGGATATCGATAAGTGTGGGGAGTCGAATTCTGGTATGTGGCAGAAAGGCATCAGACAGGAAGGGAAGCACGATCTCAGGACCTTGAGGAAGGTGTGGAGTGTAGGCAGGCTGTACCTTAAGTGCAAATGCAAGAAAGACAAAAACAAAGACTGCAGGGATACCCCCCTGTGGTTTTATCACGTCATTTGGTATCTACTTGCACACCCGGACATCCTCTTTCCTAACATGTCCTCGATCAAGATCTACACTTCTATGCTCGTACACTACCTTAGGACGACGTGGAGGGACGGGGTGCTGGCGGCTATCAACTTCCATTTCTTTAGGGACCTGATGATGGGGTATGCTAAGGAACTCGAGGAGGATCCAACCCTGAACGCGGAAGGTGTCCTGAAGGAGGAACGCCTTTGGACCTATCCGATCCCTGCAGCACTGACGCGCATCATGCTCCCCATTAGGATTCCCGAAAGACCAACCAGGATCTTGCTCAGCTCACCGCGATCGGCGGCACGAAAGAGAAGTGGAGGGACGCAGGGTCCGCACCAGACCACACTCAACTTTCAGAGGGCGAAGCCTGCCGGCGACGCCCCTCTACCGCCTCCTCCCCCTCCTCCTCCTCCCCCACCCTCGGCAGCAGCCTGCTGTGTCGGCCAATCGGACGGCACTGGCGACAAAGGCTCTGCAACCGGGCAGCACCATTTTCAACACACCCCTGGCCGGGGTTCGACAATCACCTTTGCCGCCGACCGCTTGGTTGTCGGTCCTCACCCCCTCACTCCCTTCCATCCAGCAACCGCTCATGATTATCAGAGGACTTACTCCTTCGCCTGTCATTCACGTTTCCCCGGAAAGCTCCGCGCAGTCTACACTCACCCGGACTAGTAAGAACCCGGGGGGCGCGGCGAGGGGTGGGGTTGCCACGGCCAAACGACCCTCGAGGGCGTAATTACACGCAGCCGCCTCTCTCCTGTACCAGCCTATTCCATGGTTCCCTCCTTTTTCCCTTATTATCCTTCACCTGTTTTTCCTCCCAACCCGCCTCCCTACACCTCCTGTCGTTATTATTCCCACTTGCCTCTGTCACATGTTATACCTGCGTGACGTAATCCCCCCCCTCTCTCTCTCCCTCTCCCCCCTTTATTTGCCCCTACGCCCGTGACATGCTCTACCTCCCCGACACACTCCATGTCTTGAACTGACATTTCGTTAAAACTGACATTTTTTCCTAAATTCACGAAAGTGGACTTAGTCAAAATTTCATTGGTCATTGGGTGAGAAAGTGGTTATCTCACTTTGTCCATCGGATATTTCACTTTGTCCATCTGATGTACCTCAACGTAAAGTATCATTAACATACATCCGATGGTCAGATCATCGGGAGTCGCCATGACACCCGACGATCTGATCATCCGATATCATGGGGACGAAAAAACACTAAAAAATGTTGTTTTTTGGTACGCTAATTTTCGTGAATTTAGAAAAAAATGTAAGTTTTAACGAAATGTCAGTTCTTGTACCTGTGTGCTTCCAAGCGCAGGATCCGGACGGATGGGTCAACGCCCCAAGCCAAATGATCACACTACCAAGCGGCAGGAGAGCATGGAGGAGGCAAAAGCCGGAATGTGACGCCTTCCTACACCTGAAGTACACTAGCCGTGTAATGGAGCCGATATCCGTTAGGAAGCTTGTAAACGGGGTTCTCGGCAGGGTGGTTGGGGATGACACTGTGACTTGGCTGGAGCGCGCAAGGATTGGATGGACCTATAATCACAGCATAGCTTCCAGACTATGCAGACCTGCGGAGACTTTCTGCGACTTCAGTGTGTCACAATGGATGGAAGGTTACAATCCGGAGTAGTGCCCATGCAAGACACGAAGGTACTCGGACATGCGCAGCAGCTGGTCAGTCGACTTGCTCCACAACGAGGGTTGCACCCACGTCATCACCCTGGACTCCTCTATCACGGATAGTCCGCTGCTACAGAACATCATCAATGCGGGCCTCAATCACATCCCATGCATGACACTGGATGTGGAGGAGGCGATTGCCGAGGTGGGGAAATTTTTGGACGAGCTATTTGCGCGAATTATGGAGCTACGTGATCTCACGGATTCCACCAAGTCATTTCTCCAGAGAATCATCTTGAAGAAAGCAAGGGAGAAGATGAAGAGATACCAAGTGACGCATAGGCACGTTGTTGCGGAACCGTTCGAGCATCCGGCCGTCAAGAGGGAGCTGGCGTTCCTGACTAGCAGATTCCTCATCTCTCCGACGGACAAGGCTCCCAACACGCCAGCCTTCGTTTGCAAGAACTTTATACGAAAGCTGGCGTTCAAGAGACTGTCTAGCCCTCAGTTTGCCAACATTCTCATGCCTCCTGCGGCCGTCGTATCACGCATCCATGGCGAAATCTCTGTCTTCCCGACACTTCCTGCTACTGCGACCTCGCTCCCCTATCTGATGACAGTGCTCAAGGCGCACAAGGGCACCTTCCGATGGATCACGAACACCGCGGATACTGTCATCTCTCCGGCAGCGGACGTCTGCGCCTGCTTATTGCGCTTTCTTCTCCCGCTGGTACAGACCTTCTGTCGGGACAGGAGCTTGGAGGTGGAGGAGCAGCATGGCGTTAGACCAAACCTCTAGTGGGCCATCTCATCAGTGGGGGAATTCTATGCCAATCTACCAGAGAAAGTTTATTCCGTCTTCACAGCCGACATCACCAGGTGCTTTGAAACAATCCCGACGGACAGCTCAGAGGACAGTCTCACGGCCGCGGTCAGATTCTACGTACAGTGCGCTATGCAGGTGAGAAGGGAGAGGAGCTCCAACCACGCGATTTTGATCAGATTCGGGGAAGGTGGTAGTCTGAGACCGGCATGGGTGGATGCTGAGCAGCCGGAGGAGATGGGATCATTACTATTCAAGGAAGGGGACATCTGCTGGCTCTCGGAATGGTGCATCGCTAACAGCATATTGTGCATGGGGGAATACGTGTGGAGACAGGTAAGGGGCATTCCCATGGGGTTGGCATGATCCCCGATCTGGTGCGACATTTATTTTTTTAAGTATGAGTATCAGGCGATGATGAGGCTGGTGGACACAGGGAATGCCCATCGCGTTCCGTATTTTGAGAGCACCTTCAGGTATGTGGATGACCTTGGCGCAGTTAATAACGTTGTCATCATGAGCTTTCTTGAGAGGAGGGAGGACCTGCAGCCGAATGATCCTTGCTGGATATACCCGGAGCAGTACATTGAGATCAAGGAGAATACGGAGGTGGATGAAGACGGGTTTGGACGGGTTGCCAACTTTCTCAGTGTGACCCTCACTGTCACCTCACCAATGGACGGTTTTTCACTCCACCACCAGGCGTGATAAACGCATGGGGTTGGGCTTTGCTCCCTGCAGGTTCATCAAGTTTAGATCCAACAGGGGCGTCAGGCAGTCACTGTAGATCATCACGGCGTAGGTGGCGCAGATTCTTCTGCTATGCTCGGATCTGGCGGATGCGGCGAATCAATTGGCGGGCGTTGTGGCAACAATGAGGAACAATGGCTTCGCTGCGGACGCATGTTGGGCAGTGGTCAGAAAGACCCTTCGGAATGCTTACCTCTACCAGCCTGGTAGATTGTCTGTTCACGTGATCAGGAAAGTCCTTGCCGATTTGCACGGGATCACTGACTGAGTGGTGTGTTCGTGTCTGTGTATGTGTTCGTGTGTGTGTGGTGTCCAGGGGATGACTGGGCCGAAAGTGTCGGTTGTCCTCCGGACAACCGATCCGTTCGGTTGCGGTCATCCCTCGGAGGGAACGGGGTGGGGCACACACACACACACACACACACACACACACACACATGTATACAGGACGATTGAGTGTTAACGGGGATGGGTGAACGGCTCGGGCCGACACAGCGGGCCTTGTAAGAATGAAGTTTTCGCTTTTTTCTCGATTCCCCCCGTTTGTGTTCCACTTTTCTGATCCTTTACTTTTGTTTCCATTTCTCTGCGGTTCTTTTTGTTTTCCTTTTTTCGCCTTTTTTTCTTTTCGTTTTTTCCTTTTGTTTCCTTTTGTCCAATATGCGCGCTTCTAATTGCCCCTTCCGAGGGAAGCAATAAAATACGTTTCCCCCCGGGATAGGACCGAGGCCCTTTCCTAAGGGGAGGCTGCCCCCCCGGCTCAAAAAAAATGGAACAGGTACGGATGGACCTCGGGAATGTCGCATACGTAGAACAGGCCAGATTGAGGCTAAGCCATGGACCGATAGTAGCACAGTCCCTTCTTCCCCTTTTTTTAGGTTTCTTTTTCCTTTTTCTTTTTCTTTTTCTTTTGTTCTTTTTTTGTTCTTCTTTTTTCTTTTGTTTCTTATTTCTTTTTTGTTTTTCCTTTTTTTTCTCTTTTTCTCTTTTTTTCTCTTTTCTCTTTTTCTTTCTTTACCTTTTTTTTTCTTACGTAGGATTGTTGTGATGAACGAAAGGATGTGTGGGGAGGCTTTCGTCGGAAGTCCACGATTCCCGACGAAGGGCGGGCTATATTAGGACTTAACGCTGGCGGTACTGTTCATCGGTCTACCGTGCAGTAATTGGTTCTGACAGGTGGTAGGGCGCGGTGCGTTCCGGTTCTGCG